CTGATTCATCGTCGTCATTAGCATATCTGTCGATTGATGGTATTGGCATGATATGCCTTCTATTTCTTCTATACATATCGTTTCCACATTTTACAAGATAAGATCTATGTGGCAGTGATTTATGTATTATGCCAATTTTGTTGCACAACTTAGACATTGTATCATAGATTCTAACTTTCTGTCCATATTTAAGAGTTTCTAGAGTTTTAGAATGTTTGTTATAGTTGCGCACTTGTTTGTGCTTCAGTTCATCCTTCTTTATATTGATAATCTTTGGTTTAAGTGCAGACTTATTAACCGGAAGGTTTGATCTGATTTTTCTAGAAAACATCATTTCTGCTGGGCTAAGCCCATGCTCAAGTGGTGTAGCACGATAGACTTGCAATGCTATGTAAATGTTTCCGTGCATTTTTTGATCATCGCTTTAACAATTTTAACTGCATTCTCAGCCTGACCATTATATTGAGCAAAATATGTACTTGATGTCGTTTGGTTGATGTTCCAGTAATTGGTGAATTTCTGGAATTCTTCACTGGCAAATTGAGGGCCATTGTCAGACACAAGAAACATTGGCGTACCATGCACTGCAAACCAGGATTTCAGTATGTTTATCACGGCTGTTGAAGATGAGCTCCTTAGTTGACAAACTTCGATGAATTGCGAGTAGTAATCTACACCAACAATGTAATTGTTATTTTCGATAGTGAAGAGATCGATTCCAACCTTTTGCCATGGTTGATTACTGTTGTCTGGATATGTCATTGGTTCTTTGGGTTGCATGGGTTGATGTTTCTGGCAGGTTGAACATGACTTTATGCTTTTTTCAATGTCCATGTTTATTTTTGGCCAGAATATGACCTGTCTGGCTCGTCTCCTGCATTTTTCAATTCCTTGATGTCCAGTGTGTAATTTACTGAGCATTTCATTTCTCATGTTGCCAGGTATTATGATTCGGTCACCTTTGAATACTAGATCACCTTTAACTGACAGCTCATCGCGATAGTTCCAGTAATCTCTTGTTACTAGTGGGCATTTATGGCGCTAGCTAGGCCATCCTTCTTTAATTGTGCGATTTAACTCTTTTAGCGATTCGTCTTTGCCTGCTTCAAATTCTATCTCTTTCAGTTTTTCATCAGTTGTAGGTAGCGCTTGTATGATCGACGGCACATACATATCAATGTCATCATTGAACTGCTGTTCTGAAGAAAGTTGTACTGTTGGGTCAACCGCTCGTGACAGAGTGTCTGCTGTTTGGAGTGATTTTCCTGGTACATATACAATCTTAATGTCATACTTCTGCAGGCGCAATCGCATTCGCTGTAAGCGTAGAGGACCATCAGCCAATGGTTTGGAGAAAATTGATATGAGTGTCTTGTGATCAGTCTCACAAATTACTGATTGTCCATAAAGAAATTGATGAAAACGTTCGCAGGCAAACATTGTGGCTAGGCACTCCTTTTCTATTTGGGCATACCTAGTTTCTGCAGAAGTCATCAATCTTGAGGCGTACGCAATATGTGCCCATCTACCATTGTGTTGCTGGGGGAGAACTGCTCCAATGCCATCCTTTAAAGCATCGGCACTGACCTTACATTGTTTGTTTGGATCGTAAAATTGTAATACTGGTGCAGTTGTCAATAGTTTGTTTACTTCTCTCCATGCGTTCTCTTGCGTGTCCTGCCACACCCAGACAACATTCTCTTTAATAAGTTCTCTAAGAGGGGCAGTGATGGTTGATAAGTCCGGAATGAATTTTGCTAGATATGTGACCATGCCAAGGTATCGCTGCATCTCTGGTTTAGTCGATGGTTGTGGCATGTTTGTAATGGCTGTTATTTTTTCCGGGTCAGGTCGTATGCCTTTGTCGGTCAACATATCTCCGAGAAATAAAACTTCCTTGACACAGAACTCACACTTCTCTCTGTTTAGCTTTATACCGTTCATTTCTATTATGTCAAGTACTTGGCTTAATTTCTCTCTATGTTCTTCAATTGTCTGAGAGGATAGTATAATGTCGTTTTGCATTGTACTCACTCGTGGTACATGTGCCATCATGTTGTTAATTGCCATTTGAAATCCTTCGCTTGCGCAGTTAATTCTAAATGGTAATCGTTTGAATATGTATCGTCCGACTGGAGTAATAAACATGTGAGTTTAGCACTCTCTTTATCAAGGGGTTGCCGCCAATAGCCCGATGTAAAATCTAATTTTGTGAAGTATTTTGCATCAGTAAATTCGGCAATAATTTCTTCCCTTGATGGAAGCTTAAAGTGTTCACGCTTTATAGCTTTATTTAGATTTTTTGGGTCGAGGCAGATGCGAATATCACCATTTCGATTATTTACCGTTACAATGTTGCTGACCCACTCTGTCGGCTCAGTAATTTTTTCAATGACGCCCATTTCTTCCATACGATCAAGTTCTGCTTTGACTCTGCCTCTGATTTTGAATGGTATTTTCCTGCAGGGAATTTGAACAGGTCGAACAGAGTTATCAATATCAATGTGATATGGTTTGAGAAGGCATCCAAGACCTTTCAAAACATTGCTATGTTTATTTATAATGTCTTGCACATGATGAATGTCACTGGCTTTGCGATCAATTGAGTTAAGTGACGCTTGCTTAAACTTTGGTGCGATCAATTAAAGATTTAGGCATGTGTCGGCACTTAATAGTGGTTTATATTGACTATGTATACTGGAAATATTCCCTCTCGGTCTTGGTAGGCTATGTGTAGGTTACATTTGCCCAAAATAGGAATTTCTGCGTTAGAGTATCCTTTAATTTGTGTATTGACACATCTAAGCGGTGGCTTTTCCATTAACCGACTCGGACATAGGCAAAATGTTTACTTTTGCTCCACTATCCAACAAAAATACTATCCCGCTACCGTGTACGTCAAGTTTGCAGTTAAATTAATTTGAGGAATTTGAAATATTATTACACTTGATTGTGCTTAAAATAAAATCATCATCCTCAGAAGTGATGACGGCCATTGCATTTGTCACATATTTTGCCGTATGCTGGACATGATTTTGGTCCAAGTGTTGTGGCACACATTCTACAGTCGAATGTTTTTCTACTTGTATTCTTTTTGGAGGTACTGTTTACATTTAATGCATTTAACTGACTTGCTGATGCTTTCAGTGTGTCATCTGACATTTCTTGGTTCTGAGCAATGCTTATAGCCTTGTCTAGGGTAAGATTGTCTCCGTCCATACATTTTTCTTTTACTCTGGGATGTTTGGCCCTTAGGACAATTGCATCCCGCAACATTCTGTCTTCGAGATCGCCATAGTCACATACCTTTACTAAGATTCTAATGTCCGTTAAGTCATTAAAATTCTCATTTCTCTGCTGGCATCTTTTGTGAAAGTCGATTGTTGCTTTTATGATATTGCGTTTGGGTTTCAGATAATTTTCAAATTTGCTAAAGACTCCACTAAGTGTCTCATTTTCCGCAGGCACTTTTGCTTGGTCACCAACTGCAGGTTGGGCAGCGGTCCATACAAAATGTTCCATAAATTTCTCGTCCTCTATCTCCTATATGTATGTCATTAAATAGTTGACTTTTTGGATTTCTGTCTTAGTATCTAAAGGGCCATCAAACGTGAACTGGCAATGCTGTTTAAACCTTTTAAATTCACGCAGTAAATCTGGCGATGCCCAGTCCATTGAAGGCTTATTTTTAGTGGCCATCGTAAATGTGTGAAAATTGAACGTACTCACAGACTTTTTATATATTCACCAAAACACGAGAGTCCACAGATCCAAAGAAACACAGGTCTAAATTAATATTTCAGTAAAAGTAACAGTCAATGAACAGAACAAGTATTTTCACAGGTAACAATGATCCTGGGTTCTAAGTTCTGACACCATGTAACATTTCGTTCGTTGTTTAGTAAGGCAGTAATGAAGACAAGATAATATAATTATGGTAGAGTTGTTTATTCAGTCTAAGCAATGCAGCAAGTGAAGTCACACCTAGAATCATAGCCATAAAATATGTAATAGTATATCATTACTCAGTAGCTTTGGTTTGTAGGGTACTGGTTAGGATAGGTTGTCATGGTAATTGAATAGGAATCTGAATAGGAATCTAACCTATTACTTTATAGTTTCAATCTCTAGATTTATTGTATACTGGATATCATTACAACTTAACCTCAACGTTCGCGAACGTTATAAGAACGAATTTGTTGTTGTTGTTGTTGTTTTTGTTTTTTTGTTGCTAGGGGAGGCTTGTTTTACCGCCTCAGGAGGTAAATAAAGGAAAGAAAGAAAAACTAAACTACAAAAGGCTGTTAACGAAACACAATGAGTTGACGGAGTTAAAAGAATTCGGAGAATCGTTTTGATACGTCAATAGCCTTTGTACTTTTAAATTGTTAATTTTTAATTCTAAGTATTCTGAACAATAAAAAAACATGAATAAATATGTGGATAAGCAACTTTAATACACGTCAGAGTACCAGATCGTTTAGTGTATTGAAATCATTCACCACTTTGGTCTCACTGAGGAAGCATCGAGCAACTTCAACCTAATATCAAAGCATTTCAGCCAGGAGTGCAAGGTACGTATTTTTATCTAACCTTAATAAATATATTATTATGATTTTAGCACCAATGTTGGAGAAATATTTTCTGTCCTTTTCTGGATGATCATTCAGTGTCAACTAAAAGGACAATTAGGCCTAATGATTAAACCTTCCCAAGAAAAATATGTCAAAATTTTCCAGAGGCAAAAAAAAAAAAAATAAATAAATAAATAAATAACTAAAAAGTAAAATAAAATAAAATAACAATTAAAAAAATGTTTTTAAATTGCTCAGGGTTCATGGGGAGAGTTTTTATGGCTTAGTATGGCTCAAAATTGTGCGTTTAGACGACGATTTTAGGAATAGCTAATCAAAATAACTTTATTTGGATAGGCAAATTAATATTTTTGGTAAAACCTTGTCGTGGCATGACGACGGGGGTCCAGGAGGCATGTCTGACAGGGACACCCCTGCCCCCACCCCTGCTGGCACCACCACTGAATTTGCTATGCTACGGACAAGGCTCACTGCTTGTCCTTAACCATACATGACGGATTCACCTTCCTGAGAAATCATACAAGCCTACCAATATTGTAATATAGGTCTATACTCAGATAAGATAGTATCGAAATGCACGCCATCGTGCCTATACTCATTTGTTGAGAATAAATGAGCAGGTAAACAGATAGACCTACGAAAGCCTATTCGTGCCACTTAAGTATATAAAATCATCAAAATGTAATCCGAAATTTCGGATTAGTAATCCGAAATAACGGATTAGTAATCCGTTATTTCGAATTAGTAACTCGTTATTTCGGATTACTAATCCGAAATTTCGAATTAGTTATTCGTTATTTCGAATTAGTAATCCGTTATTTTGGATTACAACCCGAAATTTCGAATTAAGTAATTCGTTATTTCGAATTAGTAATTCGTTTTTTCGGATTACTAATCCGAAATAACGAATTACTAATTCGAAATTTTGGATTAGTAATTCGTTATTTCGGATTACTAATCCGAAATTTCGAATTAGTAATTCGTTATTTCGAGTTAGTAATTCGTTATTTCGGATTGCTAATTCGTTATTTCGAGTTAGTAATTCGTTATTTCGAATTACTAACTCGAAATAACGAATTACTAATTCGAAATTACGGATTAGTAATCCGAAATAACGAATTACTCAGGAGCGAGGACGTAGGCCTAGGCCTAGAGAGAGAGTTGGGACGCGGTAACGTCTTGCCCTAGTTTTCACACGTTTCACTCGGTTTCAGTAATTTTGAAAGGAACACACGAATCATGCTGTCATAATAGCGTTGTTACAAATAAAAAGAACTAACATAATTGTCCATTTAATATTGGCATGTATTTAATATTCTATTCATTATTTACTACAGTGAGAAAAGAAAGAAAAGCAGTATTTACACAGGATCTCAATAAATAGCTATTAGTATGGTGATTATGTCTTGCTGAGCTATACTGGAAAAAAAGTCTAGTTTATCATAAATTATAGTGTACTGTATAATGTCTGTTTTTGCATTATCAATAAAAAATATTTTCATTAAAATCGAGACAGCTGAAAATAATTATAGGCCTATGTTTTTCTTTAATTTTTTTATGTATAAACTGAAATCTTTTTTTGTTGCAGTAATTTTTGTTGTACCTGTTACTGTACACAATTCAGTTATTGCAATTCGTAAAACATTATTACAAAGACAGACTCTCTTCAGGATTATTTGGTTGAGACAGTTGTCTTTCTTTTGTCACATGTGTACTGGCTCTAGAAAATTCACTCAGTAATTCATTATGTTGTATTACTAATTCGTTATTTCGAGTTAGTAATTCGTTATTTCGAGTTAGTAATTCGTTATTTCGAATTAAGTAATTCGTTATTTCGAATTAGTAATTCGTTATTTCGGATTACTAACTAGAAATAATGAATTACTAATTCGAAATTTCGGATTAGTAATCCGAAATAACGAATTACTAATCCGAAATTTCGAATTACTAATTCGTTATTTCGGATTAGTAATCCGAAATAACGAATTAATAATTCGAAATTTCGGATTAGTAATCCGAAATAACGAATTACTAATTCGAAATAACGAATTACTTAATTCGAAATTTTGGATTAATAATCCGAAATAACGGATTACTAATTCGAAATAACGGATTACTAATCCGAAATAACGAGTTACTAATTCAAAATAACGGATTACTAATCCGTTATTTCGGATTACTAATCCGAAATTTTAGATTACATTTTGATGATTTTATATACTTAAGTGGCACGAATAGGCTTTCGTATAAACCTAATACAAGTTTCGAAACATTTTTTAGCATCAGAATTACAGATCATGAACAGCTTGTGTGACTGACAAAAACATTTGGGTACAGAACAATAACATTTTGTGTATTCTGGGAAAGTCCTGTTTAATGCTGCGATTTCTTTTTTAAATATATTGTGATCGCAAAGCAAGGTCATTTCATTATCATGTAGGTATTTCCAATAGCCAACTTCCTCTTATTTTTTTTTTATAAATGACTACAATAATAACCACAAAAAAAAATCGAATCCTCTCTCAAAGGGGATTAGTTTTTGTTTTCTGCAGAAACCCAAAGGGGCACCTCATTGCATGGAATTTATGAATTAATACAAATCGGCACCCCTTAGTGTTTAATACTCTGTCATTTATTTTCTGTACTCACTGCTTATGTTTGCTTGTGTGTCAAGAAGTGCCTGTTTGGCAATGCATTTCCTAGTGCTTTGACAAAAATAACAAATAGCCGTTTCATTTCACCACAGCATTCCTCAAAGCAGAGTGAAAAACAAACAAACAAAACAAAACAAAGCTGAACGCTGTGAATAAACCAAAGTAAGTAGATATTTACTAATACTAATATTTACTGAGCTGAAGGCAGTGGTGGCGCCAGGACCTGCCCGACGGAGGGGTTAAGGCCCCGACGGGGGGAGGGGGCTAGTGGAGCGAATCGAGTCTCACTTGGATGGAGGCCTGGGGGCCGCCTAGGGCCCCCGGTGGGGGTCCAGGGGGCTAAGCCCCCTGGAAGCCACGGGTATTTGATGAATTATTGCGATTTTTTATTACTTATTTGATAGGCATCTAGTTACTATAATATCACTTTATGTAGGCTATGCTTTCTAATGTTGAAATCAGCTTCCAAAACCAAAACATATATAAGTATACAATAATAATAATAATAATAATAATGATTTTTTTTTTCTGTAATCCAATGCGCTTTTATTATGTTAGACATTATTTAAAGTATTGCCGGAAAATGCAATAACAAATTAAAGTATATTTACTAAAACTTTAAGAGTTTAAATTCTATTATATTTCCAAACAAAATTTAGTGTAATTTTATTATCTATCCATCGTCGAATTAGGAGGACATCTTGACTTTTTATTAGGCCAAAAAAAATTTGTCTTGGCTACTTCCGACCGACCCAAATTTTTCGAAATTCAGGGTCGGTATTTTAGCTTTTTTTCCCCTTGACTACAATGAGGAATATATTTTTATGAGCAAATAAGGCCGAAATATTCTTGGTCAGGTTAGAGGCCAAGGCAAAGCCTATTTTACCTGATGGTGCGCGATGCGAATCCAAAATTGTTGTATTATTTGTGTATTTTCTACTTTTTAGGCGTAAAAACATTTTTGGTTGTTTAAAAAGCCTTCCTACCGACTACCCAGTTTTTGAATTTTCCCAAAATGTGGCCAACAAAATTGTTTTTGGCCTTAGCTCTATATTTTGCCTAGCAAATGAAATTTCAGTGTCTAAAATGATGTTAATATAATATTATCAAATAAACTTTTTTTTAATTGTTTTTTAATTCTTATTAACATTATTGCATTAACAAAGATTTTTAAAATGTGTTTGACCCTTGTATTTATTAATACATTATTTCTCTTAAACAAGTGTAGTACACTGTAAATTTAAATTCTTGCAGTACAGTAACCACTACAGCTGAACAACTATATTGTTTAGAGATTTTATACAATATAATTGACGAGTTTATTTAAAATGTTGTAATTCACCATAAATAATGCGTGACTTTTACTTAGAAACAAAAGAAAACATTCCAAACTTCTAAACATAGAACACTTCGTCACGTAGCTTGTGACCGATATAAAAATAATACGGAAGAAGTCCTCTATATAAATTGCACCTAGTAAATAGTACGGAGGATTTTGATTGATATCCTTAATGGAAAGTTCAACGTAATAATGTGACCTTAAAATAAGGAAGTCCATTTTTTAACTTCATACAACACCTGTCTCTTATACACATCTAGATGTGTATAAGAGACAGATATATATATATATGCCAATCATAAATCCTATCCTTTCACCGCCAGTAAATCAAAAGCGAAAGAAATCAATCAAACCCCCAATTGAGTCAGTCCAGCACATACAATTTGCAATGAAGCTGAACTTTATTGCCAGCAGTATGGAGTAAAGAATATTCTTTACTCCATGCATATATAAAGCAATATTTGTAACAATGAGAAAAGATACCGTGCCTTTAGGCACATAATACTGCCTATTCATAATTAGTAACAAATGTAGCAATGGTGAATAGGAGAATATATACAAAATATTCGTTTCCTGATAAATCCAACTAGGACACATTTTCAAACAACTGATGCATGGTTTAATTTCTCACTGGGTGCACCTTTGTCTTTTTCATACAGTTGATAAAGAACTTTTTCTTTTATAGGTTATGCATGATATGATCTTTACATCATTGTTCATTTAGCACTGTTTTTTCATCATTTGATTAGTTATACCACAATACTACGCAGCAACATTGATTCTATATGTTACTTAATTATAATAAGGTATGACTTCTAGGGTTTTCTTTGGCAACAGTATATCATTTGTTTGAAGAAGTGTCCTGGTTGGGTTGTATCTGTGATATACCAGGGGTAAATATGTATGACACTCACTTTGACAGCAAGAAATCACATTTTAATTCTCGCCGCCAGGGGTACATTTTCAAACAGTTGATAAGGAACTTTTTTATTTGATAGGCTATTCCCGATACGATACTCACATCACTTTTCATTTATTCAAGCTCGGTTTTCACCATTATTTAATTATATAAACAGGGTACTACACACAAAAATTAATTATATATATATATATCTGTCTCTTATACACATCTAGATGTGTATAAGAGACAGGCTTAGGTAGGGCCTAAAGTTATCTATATACTTTTCTAATTTTTTCTTGAGGTTTCTTTTATTTCTTTTCACTTTCTCCATTATATTCATTTTCTTTTTATTTCTTTTCCCTTTCCAGTTTTTTCTTTTTCTTTCCGTTATTTCTTTTCCTTTCTTTAATTTTCTTTTCCGTTCTTTGCCTTTCAATATTTACATATGTTTATATATCATTTGAAAATGATAATTAGCCATCTCATAGACATCATGAGGTCTATTTGATATTAGTGTTTTCACACCATTAATTGAGTATATGATTTATGTTTACATAATTTCATTTATGCTATAACTAGCTTAAATATAAACAACGATGTTTAATATCTGCATCTATCTCTCCTGCACTTGCTCTCATACCATACAAAGCAGTTATTTGCTTATTTTTTAAAATTTTAATTACTTTCGATTGATTATCAATTTGTTATTCCTTAACTGTTTTCTATTAATTTTGTTTAATTTCCATTTCTTTCATGTACCTTTCTTAATTGGCAAACATTCTGAAATCCAACGTGGCAGTTGTCGGACTTCTTTCTAAATGGTGTTACTTTACTGCCATAGGCAGCTTTTACTATGATTATGAGATGTTTGATGATTGCATGATATCCCTAATTATACATATACACAATCTTGATTCACAGTGCTAGTACTTTACATATGTAAATATGGAAACAAATATTGTGGCCGCCATCTTGATATCCAATATGGCAGCCATCTTGAAATTCAATATGGCGGCCTTCTGATATAATCTCTGATATCTGCATGATACTCCCTGATATCGAAAACACGAGTAGATATCTTTGACAGTGCTAGGTGTTGTAGATATGACGATATTTACAACAATTATATAATTAATTTGGCGGCCATTTTGAAATCCAGTATGGCAACAATCTTGAAATTCAATGGTGGCATTCTGACATAATTTCTGATGGCTGCATGATAGTCATTGATATCGAAAACATGGGTAACGGTCTTTGATTGACAGTGCTAGGTGTTTTAGATAAGATATCGACAAAAATAACAATAAGTAATTTTGGCGGCCATCTTGAAATCCAATATGGCGGCGCCATATGACATAATTTCTGATGATGGCATGACACTCCCTGATATTGAAAACATAGGTAATGATCTTCATTTGGCAATGGCATGTGTTGTAGATATGAATATATTGGCTAAAATCAAATATTTTGGCGGCCATATTGGATTTCAATATGGTGGCCATTCGGAGACGTTATTTTTTGGGGTCTATTTTTTTTTAATGATCTTTAGGTATCATAGTATCACTGTGGGAAGTTTCATGCTTTCTTCCAGAAGTGCACGATTCTACCTGAAATTCAACCTTAGCCGCTCTATTACCTTTAGACTCAGCCCTTATCTTAATCCAACTTCTGGTTTAGATTGAAGTTTCTAAACAACATAAATTATAAAACATCAATATGAGCCAAATCTGTTTCATCCCCATGGATCATACCCACACACAGATACCAACATAAACTTATGTATCAATATATACTTATTCATTCTTTCTTTTTTACAGTCGCTCTCGACAACAATTCAGAATAAAACACAAGTATGACAGATCGATACGTTTTATGTGATTACAACACAGCAAAAGATAAAACACCAAGAATTCACTCCAGGTATGGCAATTTACAAGAGGCCGAAGCAAGCTTTAATAAATCTGCCGAGAGAAAAGTACTTAGCGTGGTGCTTTACGATACTGAAAAGGACGAGGTTCTTAAAATCGGTATCGATGGAGAGCCAATTCACTTGGTCGAGGCTGTTGAAAAGGCAAGAGTTGAGAAGAAACTTAATGTAGTTGCCAATGCAGCTGCCAAAGCAGCTGCAGGAATTGTCATTGGAGGGATTGTCGGAGCACTCACTGGTGTTGCAGTTCCGGGTGTTGGTGGAGTAATTCTTGCTCATTTTCTAGGCCCATATTATGCCATTAAAGGGGACGCAGCTGCAGCTGCTGGTGCTGGTGCTGGTCTGTGGGGTGGCCTATCTGGGGCCGTGATAGGAACGATTATTGCTCCAGGAGTAGGGACTTTAGTAGGGGGTATTATAGGGGGAGCAGCAGCTGGTACAGGTACAGCAGCACTTATTAAATCCCTCACACCACCAAGCCCAAAATGTACCAATTGCAAAGGAGCAGGCTTGGTGGATGATTATAGGAGATGTCCAGAGTGTAATGGATATGGGTACAAAGAGAAGTAATCTCAGGTGCAACTTTACTGTTAAATTGATAAACACTGAAATTATGTTATAACTCCCTTAGAATGCTTCTTAGAAAACTTCTATTTTGTAGTGCTAGTTTCATGTTCGTTACTGCTGATCTTCCTTCCTTTAATGAATTCATCAGGCAATCTTTTTTCACTTTAATTCTACGCATTAATGCTTCTGAAAACAAACCGGTATAGTCTTGCGTTGTCAAACACATGCTGATTGTTTCCAAATTAAGTACGAGATGTAATGATCTTTTACATTAGTATAGTTTAAGCAACTGAATGATTTTCAATTGGCCTACATTCAATTTGAAGTTTTTCTGATGACAATTTTTTCAGTCCACTTTAATAATGTTGAAAGAAAGTAGGATTTTTGACAAACCCATCTTGTGAAATTGAGTAAGAAACGATAAATTTAGGTCGCCAAAACCTAGAAAACATATATAAGAAAAGTTGGATATAAGAAAATTAGTGGTAAACAACTACTACACAAAAAATAAATTAAAACTTTATACTAATAGAATAAATATAATCATCATCTCAAAATCCTAATATCTAAACATGAAGTTATTAATTGTGTTTGTATTTAATAACTAATCAAGTCAAATATCAACTCCTCTAACTTAATTCAAAATAAAAATGCCAAAAGGCAGAATCTAACTCTGTAATATTTTCCTGGTTTTCATATTGATTGCTCTAGTAGTTAGTCTTCCTTTTAATAAATATATTTGTTGAGTTTTTTTAGGTGGTCTTTTTGTTTTTAATATTGTATAAGAATTGTTTTAGGTAGCCTTCTTGTTTGTTTGCACGACAATATTGTAAAACAGCGTTACCATCTCGTCTATATTATTTATTCTGCCTACATATGTTAAAATAAAACAAAAAATCGTCATAAACATAGAACAATTTTAAAGTATTTGTGGTTGCTAAGCTTTGTCTACACTATCTGAAAAGTAATTTGATTCGAAAGCTAAAAATGTCTATGATTCATCTTTAAGGATATTTTCGAATAATATCTTTTGTAGAACATCAAGTGAATGGACTTGTTGTCCAATAATCTTACCAGGTTATCTAGGGATTCTATGAAACAGTTTTTTTTATTACTGTTCCTGAAGAAGAAAATACAGTGCAAAAAGTCAAAATGCTTTGCACAATAGATTTATACCTAGAACAATGAAATATGATTATTAATTTGAAAAGCATTTAGTCTCCTCAGGAAAAACATTTTTTCTTAGTTTACAGTAAGTGCATTTTGCTTGTTTGTCAATGTTCAACTGGCAGTCTAAACAACGCCAATATATTTATGATGGTCTTTAACAATTTAAATACTACTGTAGGGCCCGCCTACTGAGAGTAATTACTCTTAAGCGGGGACCCCAGGGGCGGATTTAGGGGGCCGGCCCGGCCCCGGCCCCCCTTTTGAGAGGTAAAAAAAAAAGAAAGAAAAAGAAAAAACGATAGCCCAGAACGCCTCAAAAGTCGTTTTCAGGCATCTAAACACCACCAATTTAACAGTAAAGAACGATTTTCTTTTGATTCAGATTGGCCTTATCATAGTATTCTGTTTCAGACCAACATAATTCGTGGTACCAAAGTAACATTTTATCAAAACTTTCAATTAATTTGGTTACTTAACCGTCTTTATATTGGTACTTCCAAGCCTATTTGACCACGTCCATGATTTGGTTAATAGTGGTTTTTTTTACTGTTGCAACTGTGCAATTGATTGATTTATTTGTTGATAATGCTTATCTTATATTGGCGAAGCTTTAATGGGGCTTTGATCAATCAGACACAATATAATACAGTACGCAAATGACGATTTATACATATAACGTTGCACACAAATATTCTAATAAAAAATTTGTTTGCAAAATTAAAGTTGATTATTTTTTTAATAGTCACACGATATTTGTAACGTTGCCATTGTCTAGGAATTAAATGCAGTCTTTCACTTTAAAATGTATCTGTAATTGAGAAAAGAAATACTTTGCTTGCAAGGGGCCCAACATTTGTTCTATTCGGGCCGGCCCATGACTCTTCGATACACTGCTGCTTTAGATATAGTTTAGTTTTTAGCATAGGGTATTTTAACTAGGATACACAGGGGCGGATTTAGGGGGAGCCGGCCAGGCCTCGCACGCCCCCCCCCCACCTTTTTGAGAGGTAAAAAAAACAAAAACAAACAAAAAAAACAAAAAAAAAACAAAAAAAAAAACAAAAAAAACAAAAAAAAAAACAAAAAAAAAAAAACAAAACACGATAGCCCAGATCGCCTCAAATGTTATTTTCGGGGTCTAAAACACAGAAATTTCGCGGGGGCATGCCCCCGGACCTCCTATTCCAGTTTTGTCCCGATCAGCCCAAATTTCGTTCCCCCTTTTGGCCCCCTTTCCTTTATACATCTCTGGATCCGCCCCTGATACATCCCATTCCCGATAGCTAACAGTGTCCAATACCCACTATTTCTTGGTAGCCTGCCCCCCCCCCTGGTATTTATTCGGTTTTCGTTCTTGGGTCATTCTTCGCTAATGTGCCATTTTAGAGGTTTAAAAATCATGAAAAAAAAAGTTTAAAATTTGTAATTCTTTTATTACACATGTCATCATTATGCCATATAACAACTATAATAAACATTCGGCACGATAATTAGGGCATTTTAAACGTTTATTTAAGCATTCAATTTTCAGTGCTGTAACATAGCTCGCGGGGGCATGCCCCCGGACCTCCTATTCCAGTGTTGTCCCGATCAGCCCAAATTTCGTTCCCCCTTTTGGCCCCCTTCCCTTTATACATCTCTGCTCTTATACACATCTAGATGTGTATAAGAGACAGATCTTTCGAGATTGCATTAACGCAATAAAAATAAAACTTCCTTTAATATTTTAAAATTTATACTACATCAAAACAGAGGGACGGGAAAATGGCACTTTACCGAAGAATGACCCTCTTATGATCCTATTAGGGATGTAATTATTTTTTTAATAGTCACACGATATTTGTAACGTTGCCATTGTCTAGGAATTAAATGCAGTCTTTTCACGGAAAAAATGTATCTGTAATTGAGAAAGAAATACTTTGCTTGCAAGGGGCCAACATTTGTTCTCTTCGGGCCGCTGGATGCCAGTCAGGATGCCAGTCAGTTTAAGCGGATGTCAGTTCGAGCGGATGTCAGTTCGAGCGGATGCCAGTTCGAGCGGATGCATTTAGTGCAAACTATAACAAGGGCGAATTTATCGTCGCCCTATTTTTGTATTTGTTTGTTTTAAATGCAAAAAATGCTCTGTGCACTAAAGCTCTGAAATGTTTTTGGTACTTTTTGATATTATTATTCCAGGTTTGAATTACATTACAGTCTTGGCAAACTAAAAGATGGCCGCTAGCAAGTTTCACGGTCTTTGTCTCCAGTTACCAGTAGTTGAATTTTATAGTGTATTATTATATTACATATTACTTATTTCCATGGCGTTCCATAGCATACTTTTTCTGGGATTAGGGATTTTCATAGAGATATAATAAGAGTTTAGTAGCTCTAAATGGGGATTTAATTCGCGATCAAAAAGTTTCTCGACATAAACTGACGCTAGTGGCGCTTTCCGAAATGTGCTAATAATAACCAAAGATACTGAAAATGCAGTGTCTCTGCTAATAGTAATAATACAGTACTGTTCTACGAAAAATAAATAAATTAGAGACTTGTGGCAAGTCTAAGGTATAGTACTGTATTTTATTAATTCTCTGGGACCTAATGCAAAAAGGGCAACAAGAAAGTTGTAATCGTTTATCGCAGAACGTTGAACCAATGAATGTTATAGGCTAGACTAGGGCTTCAAACTACTACTACTAGGCCTAGGCCTACTACTAGAAGGGCACCACACCCGGCCACCGCAAATTGGATTGGCCTCCCCTAACCTAGCTAGGCCTAGGCTAGGCCTGCCACAATTCCAGTAAATATCCGAGTAATGTACTCCTTTCTATATCTAGGCCTAGGCTAGGCCTGGGACCTACTATTTAATCAATAAATTGTTTGGTAATGTGCCATTGTTTGGCCACCCAGTGTTTTTGTTAAGGGCGCATAGAAGAAATTATTAAGATTCACTATTTTTGTTTAAAAAATTGATGAGGGAGGGCGTTTTTTTTTTTTAAATCAGAATAATAGATTATTTAGCTTTTGTTTTTATCGATGAGGGAGGGACTCTGGGCTCACACTAACCGCTTGCCAAATCGCCAGGGGCGAAAACTATTTTGGATTGGCGAAAAAAAAAATCAACTGCTTTAGCTATTTTGGCGAAAACCTAACATCAAAGAAAGTTTTAAATACTTGGTAAAATACATCGTTTTTTTTTCATATGAGCTACATTTTTCGCTAACTTCTTTCGACGCTTATTTGTGTTGTTGTATGAGTAGTCTTGCTGCAAACATCATTGCATGCCTCGCAAGTTATCTTTTATTTGTGATTGTTATTTTTACGCGGTAGATGCAGGGCAGCGGCTGTACGACGTAGACTAATGTGAAGGCAAAAACACGAGGGGCCCGATGCAATATGACAGGTAGAGTTATATGTGGCAAAGACAAGCCAAACCAGTCACTCGTCGCAAATCGTGTTTCAGAACCTTTATATATCTACACATCATTCTATGGTGTTTCCCCATTTTCAATGTTAAAACAATACTTTTTAAGGATTTAAAGATAGTTTCTGCTTGAGAAATGCCTGAAATCATAAACTTCGTGTACGATTATCGTGGTGACAACTTCGGGTGACATACGATCAGGCCCAACTGGTGTGGACGATCAGGCCCCAAGCCAATTTTGAATATACTGTACTGTAGTCCAGTAAAACCACCGCTAGCTCTTCATCCCCGATATCGTTCAAAACTAAAAAGAAAATACTGTTATAGGCCTAGGTCTACATAATTTTTTCAACTTTTGTGATAGGCCTACATATTCAGCCAACTTTCAAAGTTCATGTAATGAAGGAAGGCTTGCTGACCTCACAAAACTTCAAACTATCTTAATTAAATTATAAAAAGAAAATATTAGATGACTAAAGTATGCATTTAACTATACTTGGCATAAAACTAATTTGGCCACAAAATTCCTTATACGTTAGTGCAGGCAAATATTTCAATAGATTTTCAAGATTATTATTAGCCCGAATTATTTTTTTTTAAATAGAATTGTGGATATTTTTGCCATAGGAATGAGGTACTAAAGAAATCTAGGGCCTAGGTTATATTGTACTTTACAGTAGGATGACTGGCTGTTCAGCAGTTGGCTGCAAAAGTCGACCTGAAAAAAATGTGAGACTCTTCAGGTTTCCATCCGATAAAAGCAGAAGAAAATTGTGGGAAGTAAAGCTTAGTCGATTAAATTGGAAACCTACGAACAACTCTCGTCTTTGTGAGGTAAGAAAGAGAGGTCTACCATTTAAAAAAAATAATTCTTGAATATTAATGGTCATGCAATTTTATTTTACCTATATAAAAAAAAATCCAAGTACAACACTGTTTTAAGGTTTGCATGATGAAGTAATATATTAATGCTTGTGGTACACAACAAAGATAGTTCTAAAATGAACTGTTTTTAGTTGAGAATGTTTCAAAATATATTTTCTGCAGATATTATTCTCCTGAAGAAGATTGAAGCAACTCAATCGAAGCAGAGGAGGTTGTGTATGATCGATTCTGTATCCAATTACTAGGGAAAAAAAGTGTCTTCGGCAGTTTCTGGATATGTGCACCCTATAAATCCTATGAAATAGAAAAAAATAATTAAAAAATAACTATCTACGTGGTGTATCACAAGATTGATATTTAAAATGAAGTAGCCATGTATGTTTGCAAAGGCCCATCATATCGATTTTGAAAATTATTGTCACAAAAGCCCCAAAGTCAATATTTTTCACATCGTTACTGTTTTTTGGGGTTTGTTTTACGATAAACCTCAGGTACATTTCGAGAATGACCAGTTTGAGAGACTGCGAACAGACAGGAAACTTAGAAGAGATGCAATTCCAACTCTATTTAGTCACCGACCTGTTCCCAAACACCGAAAACCTCCCAAACGACGAATTAATAATGATGAACAGAAATTCAGATGTCCAGAGAGAAGCTTAAGTGACCACACTTACTGGTTACCATTGTCAAAACAACCAGCTATATCCACTCAGAAAAGTGAGTAAAATATTTAATGCATAACAGACATCTGTGCCCACAACATAGTGGAAATTAATAGTGGTAGCCTTTTTTTTTATGAATATTGATTTGGTGGATTCTTTTTTCTGTATGCACATTAATAGTAACACAGACCCTATATAGTAATAATGCCTTGTAATAGTATAGTTGAGGTGTGCTAAGGTACTGTTCCCTCTTAATTTGTCTTTTATTTTTTCAATAGAACTAATGTGATAAAAAATAAAAAAACTTTGCCAATGTCGTGATACTGAAGCAAACTAAAAAAAACCTAGAAAAGAAAAGACCATGAAGTTGAAGAGTATGCTAAAAATTAATGGAGGGATGAGAATAAAGAAAGAAAATCATCATGATGAAGGGAAAAGAGCAGGAGAACCACGTAAAATCAAGACCATTTTAAGGCATTGGATAGGAAGGAGACAAATGGTTTATCATGGAGTGGAACAGAATCAAGACATTACTACAACAAAGCTTTGCTTCTGGGCCTCTTTATTGAAGCACTTCCCATTTCCATCATTTCGAAACCCACCAGTGACAAATGCAGTTGAAAAGAATGGATCCAACAGAATGACTGTGTGTCGTAACTACTGATCTCTATTATTAATAGCTGGATTGCTCATTGGCTGATTTTAGTGAGGTCACCAACGCCATGTTGGAGGGCCAATGTGACGTACCAGTTTAGATGTTTCTTCTGGCTTTTGTTTAAATTATTGTTAAAAATAATGGTCCTTGCAATACTTTTTAATTATAAATTAAACTTTAAGGTAATGATTATTTTTCAAATCATCTAACCATTCGACGTCACTGTTTCTGCAGTTTTAAAAAGTGCAGATGAAGTTATTTGCGTTGTTAGTGATCGACGTCACAATTACTGTACAACGCGACGCTTTTGTAAACTGCATAGACAGTCGTGTCAAGTTGTTAGATGATTTGAAAACAATTATTACGTTAAATTTATATTTATTATTTATTATTGAAAAGTGTTGTAAGAATCGTTATTTTTAATAATAATTTATTTATTATTTTATTATTATTATTTATTTAGACACACAATACATGTATCAAGGATTGTCTATAGCGACTATATCGCTGTCCCACTTGTAGGTGACAATCCCTTTCACAAGACAAACATACACACACGATGCTTTACACAAACTAAATCTCAATACGAGATTTAGGAGGTGGAGTTATTTTGGTCGTTAGAAAAAAATCCTGCAACTCTGACAGAAATTGAACCCAGGACCCTGAGATTGGAAGGCAAGCATCTTAACCACTAAGCTATTCAACTCCATTTAAACAAATGCCAAAAGAAACTTGTCTACTGGTACATTATGTAAGCCCTCCAACATGGCGTCGGAGCCTCACTTTTTTCTGTACAATGATTGCCCTATCCACATTCAGACAGATTAGCACATACATCATCACTATTTACAGAATTGGCAATTCTTAACATTTATAAACAATATGAATTTCAATTACTTTTATTTGTTTATGACAGCATTAACCGCAGATTTCCTTCAACAATTCCTCAATATTTTTCATATGTTTAGCATTATTACACGACAAGGGCTCAAACAAAGGGGAATCTGACTATCCCAAAACATAAAAGTAATGTGTGACAATTCTCTGTTGGGTGTTCTGGTGCTAGACTATGGAATGCGTTCCCAGAATATATCCGACTAAAGTTATTTTTATTGAAGTACACTTACCCATTATTTATATGTATATTTATGTAATCATGTATGTACTATATATTTTCTTCAAAATGAATTTTTTGATAAATTTTAATTATTCTTTTGCTTTGAAATGGTATATTTGATATTTGTTAAGTTGAAAAAGTAATAATTTTGCCCTATATATAGAATTATGCAATTGTTTTACGTTTAAAGGGGCTGGACTTGATTAGTGTTTACACTATTTTCTATCTCCTTCCTATATTGGTTTATGTATTTATTTGAATTTTATATTACTTATACTTATTGGAAAATAAAGTTGAAGTTGAAGCTATGATAGTAGAGATCAGTGGTCGTAACGCTGGATGAAATGAGCATCACACTTAGCATTGAGTATAATCGTTTTGCAGAAAAATATCGTAGGCATTGCAACAATCTCCAGCTACTAATACAGTGTTGTGTTTATGCTCATGGACATTACATGTAGATGAAAGCCATTCAACCCATGGAGAAGGATTTGTTAAAATTCACCCTAAAGATCCTCACATAACCAATCATTTACTGCCATTCCAGCCATTGTTGCTCCTGGCATCTTACTTTTGAAAAAAACTGCTTTTTGAAAGTAAAGAATAAACATTGTGATCATTGCCTTCTTGACAGTCGGAACACCAATATCTGTTGCTGATACAAAATTAAACAAACTTGTTGTATGTGTCTGAACCAGTCTTTGACAATGATAAAAACCAGCCACTGTGTTTAACCAAATTGATGAAGTTGTGTTGTGAGTTGTGAAAACACATCAAATGAAACAAGCTCAAAGCTGAATACAACAGCACATGTGTCATACTACCAACCAACAGATATAAAGAATCAGTGTGCAAATACAATAATATGCAGAAGTCCTAGACAAACAAAAATCACAACAGGAGTTAGGGAGCTAAAGAATTAAAATCAAGGAAATAGTGAACAAAAATTAGGCTTTGCTTGTTCAAACTTAGTTTTAAATTGTCTGAAGGCAAGTTTTAAAGGCACTGACCTCAACAATGACTTGGCGCTCCTACTGGAAGTACACTTGACATAGACGGTCTCTCCTCAGCATTAGGGAGCTTACGATTGCACGACGCGGTAGAATCTAGAACGTAATGACGTCACTAATATTTCATCTGCGCATGTGAGATCGTTAAGCTCTCATGTGGAATCTAGTACGCAACTTGACCACATCTTCATTTGTGCTGAAAACGTAGGACTTCATGCATGGGTGAACTTGTTCTAGAGTTGCGTCGTCGCGCAAAATCAAAAGCTACCTTGTGACTTCTTGTAGAAAACTAACATTCCAAGAAAATGGATGAGATTTCCAAGATCAGTTATATAATGTAGTACAAATGTAACAGCAGATGTTCATAATACACTGCATCATAATTATTTTAACAATTGTACTTATAACAATTAAACTGAATAATGGATATCTAATTCTTTTATATTCAGAAACCATGGATAGCAAACCCTGTACATTAATAACAAAAGAAGATTTGAAAATTGCTTATGACGTTGTGCAACAGAGTTTTTTGTGTGTTCGCACTCCAACCATTCACCACTGCCAACAAGCTTTTGGTATCGAAGCTACAATTGATCTACACTTGAAATTAGAAAGTTCACAAACTACAGGTTGGTTTTCTTATATTTCTTAAATTTATTTATATTGCTGGGTCACCCATGCACTTATTTCAATAGTGCATGGAAAACATCTATATTAATTTCTTATTGTTTTTTTTTTCTCTGAGACTTGTCTACTGTATATTGTTATCATAGCTACTCCATATTTTACTGAATTATACATTGTGTACTGGTAAGAGTACAGAGATTTTAGCAGAGATACAATATTGCGACACTGTATATAAAATTAAAGTTACTTAACCAGGGATGGATATTTGTAAATTTGATTTTTATGTGCATTAACAGCAGAAAAGACGAAGGTGATCCAGTAAAGAGAGCCTGGCATCTAGAAGTTGAAGGTAGAAGAATAAGGGGGCGGCCAAAGGTGATGTGGAAAGATATGGTGAAGAAAGAAAGTGCAAAAATTGGTTTGGAAGAGTATGATGCACAAGACAGGAAGAAGTGGAGAGATGGTGTAGCTGCATGGAACGAGTGATAGTCAGTAACCCCTTGGAAGAGGGAAGAAAACTGACTTAAATAAATGATGATGATTATGATACATTTTTCTTCTTCATTATTTGTTATGTTTAATTTCAGGTTCTTTCAAAGTTCGAGGTTTAGCTAATCAATTGGCAAATTTACCACAAGCAGTATCTAAGGGTGAATGTCATGTGATCACTATGTCTGCAGGGAATTATGGGAAAGCATTGAGCTATGCAGCCAATAAACTTGGTATTCCAGTGACAGTAGTAATGCCAGAAACAGCGCCAGACAATCGAGCAATACTAATGCGAGTATGTGAAGCCCTTTTCAATTATCTGAATTAAATATTTTATAATGGAAGTAGTAGTCATGAGGTACAGTGGCTGATCTTGTGATGCAGTTACATTTCTAAAATGTTTTATATGTGTGACTTTACCATTTGAATCCCGAATCTGCCTATCAATGTGAAGATAAGTCATGAAAGTCTATAGATAGATTACGTTTGTGTAGTGTGTTCATGACAAGGAAGTATCAGTTGATTATATAATGAACAAACTATTATTAAATTACCATTTACTGTGCTGTTAAAATGTTATGTTAACAAACTATATTTTTGTTAGGGTTATGGTTCAAAGGTTGAGAGGGTGGATGTCAGTGAATTACAAAGCAAAGTAGATGAGCTAGTTGCAGAGAAAGGCATGCACTTCTGCCACCCATTTGATGATCTCCATCTTATTGCAGGGCACGGAAGGTTTGTGGTGCAGTTTTAAAATTACATACTTCTGCGAATAGAATGATGTGATTAAGTCTTATTTTGTCATTGTACTGTATATAGTTTCATTTTATAGTTTTAGTGATGTCTGGAATTAGAATATGCTTGTATTATATTACTGTACTTTCGCCAAGGAGGTTGTGTATTCACCTCTATCAGTTAGCAAGGAATGAACTAAGGAATAAAAAATGGATCATCATAAAATTTAGTTGAATAATATAAGAGATGTTTAACTTTTCGGAAAGGCAGGTCAAGGGAATTCAATTTTTTTTTTCTTGAGCTTGGCTTTAAGAAATTAATGGAATCACCCATACAAAGCCTGCATTTTGTTTAGTATCCAGGCACAGGGTGGAGGTTTGCATATGGAGTGACTAGATACAAAATATACTGCTAATTCTATTATGAGTATACAAATAAAAAGATGGTTACCAAAATTTATTCTTTTTTCATTAGTTTGGGGCTTGAGATTCTTGAGGACCTTCCAAGTCCAGACATTGTCTTGGTTTGTTGTGGTGGAGGTGGTTTACTGGCTGGAACAGCTGCAGCCATTAAATTACACTGCAAATCGTGTAGGGTGTATGGTGTTGAACCTGAAACAGGTAAATTGAGTTTTTCAGAATAATTTATATTATATTATATCCTTTTTCTTTTCTGTTATTTCTCTGTATTTCATATTTATTGAACATATTGACAATACAGTCAAACTCTATGCCATTCTTTTGAATACATTATAAAGAGGAATCAATCAATACTTACATTAAAGCTTAATCATATTTATATTTGATAAACTACCGTAACATTTAATACCGGTAACTGATTTTTGCATGGCCATCAAGCGAACACGTCTTAAATACGATAAATTCAGTTGGAAAATCCCAAACCAATACTTCTAGGTGAAAAGTCTATAATATATATATTTCAACACTTGTATTAATCATAATTAAATCAGATGTGTATACCCCACCGTAAAATGGACCGTTCCAAAATCGCCCACTACTCTTGCACGTGCTTGCTTCTCACTGCTCGGCGAGGAGAGCAGCCGATGCTCTGCAAATAGTTTGTATGCAACGAAGATTGGGATGAAGATAAAACTACAGTAGCACATTTGTTTTATATAATGGGTTATTCCCTATACCTAAATTCCATAAGACATTTATTTTACAATTACTGTACGTATCTTACAAAACAATTTAATTTACTGTATTTAAAAAAGCACTAACCTAAAAGAGTACTTAAACATTAGTCGCTTGTCGACGTTACCACATGTCTGAACAAAAGTGAGGAATTGGAGTTGAGTCGCATGTAAAATAAACTACACAAAGCACCGCTATGCAATGTAGACACGAGTCACTTGTTGGGCTTACTTAACGTGTGAATTTCAGCATTGCCAAATGTATAAGTCACTTGTTGACGTTTGCAGCGATGTTGGTAAGGCGACGACAGCTTAAAATGATTGAAGTTTTACGTCAAGAATTTGGCACGTAAAATATGTTCGACTTTCGAGTTAGAGCAAATATTAACCATTGTAAATATAGGGAAGATGAAGTGACATGAAAATAATTTTTCGACTTAGGCGAGTTTGACTGTATTTCATTTTAAATTTATATAAATATTTTGTATACCGGTACATATTCATATAAATCGAACTACATACACATATTTCATAATTTTTGTTTTTTGGTGTTCAGGTTGTAAATAATCGCTATCTTTTGTATTTTTGTTTGTGTTGGCCTTTGTATTACAGTTAAACTTGGCTAAGTCGACTTTACCTAACTCAAATAATTTCTAAGTCGATCTTATTTTACATAGCAGATTTTTGTATTTTCCATTAATTAACAAGTCGAACAATTTTTCAATATCATTTTGGATTTGACTTAGGCAAGTTCAACTGTATATGCAGTAGTACATGTACATGTATTTATTTATGACAAAATATATGTAATGAATAGAAATTTATATGTACTTTCCAGAGTTCAGTTCTTCCAGATTAGATTATATTATCATGGTATCTTGTAAAAGTTGGTGGTACTGTACTATTCTATGTACTGTACTTAACATTAAGCTGTTCTTGTTTTAGCATGTGCGATGTACCAGAGTCGGGAGAAGGGCGTAGCTGTTACAGACCACAACTGTCATTCAATTGCAGCTGGGCTTTCACCTCCATATGCTGGTATGTAAGCTGAAGATGTTCTCTTACCATTTCTAGTTAAAGGTTAAAGTGTCCTTTTAGAAAAAAAAAACTGTATCATTGTATCACATATATTTAAACTGAATTTCACTTCAGCAGGAACACATCCTCCATTCTTCTATATAATTGTGTTCAAGACACAGTCAAGTAAACTTCCAATGCATATAAGCACCTGGTATGCCACTATTTACTGAAATCCTAAAAAAAAAATAACAGCTGACTTATTTTTTATTCAAGGTAAAATTTGTTTTGCTCACATCACAAAATTTGTTGACGAGATGCTGCTTGTGACCGACTCTGAAATCATCTCTGCCGTAAAACATCTTTACAATGCTGGGTTGAAGGTTGAGCCATCAGGTGCTGCAGCCTTTGCTGCCCTTATGCATCACAGAGTTCCGGATGTCTCTGGCAAGAAGGTTGTTGTAGTGATCACAGGTGGCAATGTGTCACCAGCAGAATTAGTTGATATTTTTGAGTTATGACTCCAGACAGTTGTACAGTATTATTTGTTTTTGCATTGTTTCAGTTTGTTATCTGGTGCTCTACTAGTTGGTAAGGGGATTAGACCATTCTCTCTTAGAGAGGGGGGGAGGGTCACGGGAAAATTATTTAATTACAATTAATCACCAATAGGAAATAAAGGGTAGTTTTACCGCTGTTTGCACAAAATATTTAGTAGGTTTTAACATGATTGTGGCTAAAAATTATTTATCATGCAAATGTACAACTGTAAATTTGTGGATATTTGCAGACTAGCTTACAAATCTAACCATAAAAACTCTGATTTTCTTTTGTATGTAATATTTTATGAATGACACACAAGCAAAAATCGGAGATTTGATTAAAAGTTTTAAAAATCTGATTTTGGAGTTTTCGTGTATAGTATGCAAAACCTCCGAAATCGGAGGGTTGATTAAAAGTTTTGCTCTCTCTCTCTCTCTCTATAGAGAGAGCGCTTGTTTAATTAATACATGTAGTACGCAGAAACTCTGAAATCGGAGATATGAATAAAAGTTGGAAAACTCTGATATCGGAGTATTGGCGGTGGGCGCAGACACACCGACATCAGAGTAACAACATAGCTCCATATAAATGGAACAATTGATTAATACATTTAAGGGGTTTTTTTTCTCTTTTACTGCATTACAGTATTTGATTTATGACCTGAAAAAGGATATTTGGAAAAGATTTGTCAAATGTGAATATTGAAATAAACCATAAGAAACCTTGAAAATAATAAAGAATATCAGTAGATTTTATCTGTAGAGTTTACTGAGTCAATAGTCATTACATCGGAATGGATGTGAATTGCTTTAATCAATCTCAAGATGCTTATAGTCAAGGTCAGTGTCTGTACTGTACATAGATTGTCAAAACTTTCATCTTTCAACAATGAGTGCACAGCTATACCTTAGTTTAAACAAAATTTCACGACTTCAACTTTGCATAAACCCTGTCTTACACCGTAGCATAAACCAGGTGTCTGTTTAAATCTAAATTTCTTTTGTTACTTGTGTGGATATAAATCAACACTGACTTCTGTGCGACAAATTATAATACAGTAATTGGGTAATACAGTAGTAAAAACATGAAGATTTAATAAATTTGCAGGAGACTATCTTGCAAGCCCTGGCATAAATCTGGCTTTTACAGCTTTAACTGTCACCACCCACAGTATAGTACTTCCTTTTGTGATATTCCCACATGGAGAACTCTACTCGAGTATTCTGAAGATGTTACCTGACCATGAATACATTAATCCAAAAAAAAAAAAAAAATCAGCCTTGATTTCATCAATCTAATCTTTCAACTCCAATAACTCCTCCACAAAATGATCCAACCATTCATTGCATGCATCTTACTCGAGAGCAATGATCGGTCAACTTTTAGCACTTCCTTTAACCATCCCTATTTGAAGCTAGTAATATAATACAGTTAGTGCTGTTTACAATCATCACACTACAGTTGAACTCATATACCACTCAAATGCAGTATGCCCTTCATCTGTTTACATGGCTTTTCCCTACAACATGATGTGCTCATTGTCTACCCTCCACACGGGCACTTTCTAACCTAGAAACCTATATTGAAAATATAGACATATTCACTCTATTTTTTGCACCACAATATGAAAAGGTTGGTTTATTCGGAAGGGTCGAACAGGCTGATATTTCAACATATTAAGTAAACTTCTCATTGTGCAACAACCGCTACAAGATTTTGTATCCATCCGTACTATAATTATCAACCCGTATGTCGCCCTCACTGTTAATGGACCTTCTTCATTTCAGTGACCTTTCTTCTCCTTTTTCTCTGGTGGCATTTCCTTCTTTTCACGTCTCTTCATTGAAGCGGTACACTGAGGGCAGTACCATTTTCCTTTGGGGGGATTTAAGATGCCGACACAACCATAATGGAACCACTCAATAGGACACTGAAAAGAGACAAACAATGTGTCAGCCAGTTGCAATAAGCCAATTCGTGGCGCATGCCTGTTTATATCGATTGAACTTGATACGAGCATGTGCAGTTCGAACTACGAAGTGGCTTTCATAAATTCAGGCTGTCAATTTTAAGGCATGGAGTTCAAATCTTGTGCTCTCCATTTGCCTATGTTCTTAGGAAAGGTATTCTTTTCCACTAAATAGTACAGTATCAATGAATGCCTTCTAGTATGCCAATGCCTACTGCTAATGTCAACTTAAATATAGCCCATTGCATAACATAAAAAAAAAAAAAATATGTCAACCACTACTAATAGGCCACTTAAGGTAAAGACTTAGTTGATTAAAAGAAAGTATGACACAAAATCTGAACTTATAAAAAAAAAACCTTTGAAATTAATTGATTTGCAAGGAATTCCAGAGGTAAATTGGAAAATGTAGTTTTGATTTGAACAGTGCAATATGGGTGTATCTGGAAGATTTCCAATAGGTCATTAGAGCAGTGGTGAATTACATAATGATAAAGTAAACATGAAATCAAATACATTTTTCTGGAAAGTTTGATGAATGAAAGAATAAACTTACATTTGGATTATCACATCCCACCATTTCACCATAAGATACTTGGTTACAGATGCAATAACGGGGCTCGTTTGGATCGTACGACCACTCCACAGGAACACTTGGATCTTCAGGCAAAGGGGGAACAAGAGGAGTATCTGGTGCGTCTGATAGAGGAGTTGCCTGTTGTTGGTGAAGCTGTTGCAGCTGATGGTGACGCTCCTGCTGTGCTTGGTGCTTCTCCCACAATGCCTGAGCTTTGGCAGTTTGCCTTCAAATAAAAACACAAATATTATGTAGGCCTATCAAAATGGTCTGCTAATATCCTTCCACTTCAGAAGGTTTGGAATAATTCTTGGTGAAAAAACTAAATCTAGAATATCATACTGAACACTGCTCCAAACTTGACTTACTTTCTCTGTCTCTGACTTCTAGTACTCTCTGTTGATGAAGGCGGTGAAGTGCCTATTGTAAATTCTTTGGTGATGATAGTCGGATCAAATCCTACAGAACGCAATGCCTCAAAACTTGCTTTAAAGCTTGCTGTTCGACGCCCCTGGTTCATCTGGAAACAAAATTGAAAGTTATAAAAAAAACCTGTATTTTTTGTAGTGAGAATTTTTATATAATTAGTTTAAGGTATAGTAGGCTATACAGCGTTGACACAACACGGAATACAATCATACTAGACGATGTTTCGGAAACACCATCCAAAGTGCGACTCCATAGTCTTTTGAGACTGAAGGATGCCATTGACTTAGGGTGTATAGTATTAATACAAGGAATAAAATAAATCGTTTCTACTGGACTTGCTGGTTTATTCAATGGCAATATTTTCATTCCTGATGATGACATAATTAATGTCGAAATATTGAATCCCAACACGATGGCGTGTATTTCAATACTTGGAGTATGTATTATACTTTCTTATCTGAGATTAATCAGTGGACCTTTCGGCAATATTTAGGGTATAGTTTTTTGACAAAAAATTATCATATTTACAATCCTTTCTCAGAATTGTATTTCCCTTTGGAGCTAAAATTTAAATTTCAAAAACAAACTCTCTTATGCAATGCAGTTATTATCATGTGTATATGTATGGATGGATGGATTTATTCGGTGTAAATACCAAGGATAACCAACGAAAGTCTGAAGAAGACCTATTTCCAATGGGGTCCTTCTGGTGGTGATTGGGCAGTACACAGGGAGACAATCCTCTACTTTTTTTCGTTTTTTAATATACACACAGGACCAATGCCTTCAGTGCCTCATCTGAAAGACGGAGCACTATCGTAACTTGCATTTCAGCCTTCAAGCTGAAACACAAGGAGGGCAGCGATGGGAATTGAACAGGGGACCTAGAGATCTCCACAGTTCAGCGGTAAACCAGTTTAGCCGACTGAGCTAAGCAGCTCTCGACTGATCTACGTAATCTAAATAGTAATATTACCGATCAAGAAGATCAAATTTTCTTTGACAAAAAAAAACTGCTGTATGTGAAGTCATCATCATGACCATATTTAGACATGTCACATGTTTTTGTCAAACACAATTTGATAGCGTGGACAAGGCTTTAGCTTTCAATACTCACCTGCAGGGTGTTTGACACTGCCTGAGCGGCAGCCATTGCTAACGGATTTGAGCTAGCAGCGCCAACTGTCCCTAGATTGTATGATATGCTTGAAGATGAAGAAGAACTAACTGGATCTTTACTCTCACTTTTTACGCTGCTGTTGCTACTGGAATGCCCACCCGATATGTTGCTGGAACAATTTTCAACGGAGACCAATGCTAACTTTTCTTGTGACTGTTGCACTTTTTTTTCTGAATGGTTTTCTGTATTGTGATGCTTTCTCTCTGGAATATAATATAAATAAAATGCTTAATTAGGAAATTAAAACCACTTGCATTGTCAACATCAGTGGATTGAATGCATTACACCCACAGCTGACAGCCAATTTTGTGTTGTGCTTTTGTTGTTAATTGTTTTGACAATATAGTTGTGGTGCTCGTGATTTCGTGTTTAATACTGTAGTACCAGCCAGAAAAACCAGAGATAGTAGCAACAGTAAAAGGAACACAGTGGTGATCTTCATGTACTTATGAAATTGTGAAATTACTGTAGAATTTAATTTAATGATAAAATATGTATTTCGCAGTGATTATAAAATTTAGTAAAACAGTATACCTTGAATCACCACTGTGTTTAGTGAAAAAACCATTTACGGTATGCATATGGGATTCAATTAAAGAAAAATAGAAAATTTACAGTTTCCCTATTTTTATGGTTTAATAATGAACTAATAATTATACAAAAATAGCGAAAGTACACACTTTTTTCTATGTAAAAAGACAAGATAAAGACTTACTTTCCCCTCGACTTATAACATGTTGTCCTGTACTTTGTATGGGTTTATCAAGGTCTAGAGATCCTGAAAGAACAAGAAATAAAGGAATAAATCTATTGGATCTTGAAAATAATAATAATGAATTATTATCTTAACAGTACCAATAAAAATAAAAAATACAGAAAATAATGATTAACAAATGATAAGTGATGATGATGATAGTGACAATTAGTCATCAAATATACAATGAAGTGTAAGCTGTTTTGAAACCACAAATGAAAACAAATTCATAATAAACATAATTTACCCTCAATTTCTGAACTAGCAAAATATTTAATTTTTTTATGTCAATTAATGTTAATTAGGACAGCAATGTCAAGAAGGTAATGAAATGAAAAAGACAAAGTGAATACAATTTTTTTACTTACTTCTTTCTAAAATTTCTGTGATGCCTGCATTGTCTGCCTCAAGTTCCATTTTAAATTTTGCAAGTTCTTGGTCTAGTTTCCTTAAATGTCTGTCCACCTGTTCATAAATCTGATTTGCCATTTGTACTTTTTCATTTGCATCTTCTAAAGTTTTATAATAATCCTGTGGAAACAAGCACTAAATATTAAACACCAACAAATAATTCGTCATTAAAGATTTCAACACATACCAATTAATCCAAATTCAATAAAATCTACTTGGTACTATATCCATTTACACTCTAAAACATAGATACAGTATCTTACAACTTGTATTTGTCCAACATAAAAAAAACATCAGAAATTTGCTTTTTGTACACTACAAATCTTCAATACAACATATAATCAAATGAAAGACAGTTCAAAGAGATATATAAAGACATTAAAATGACGTAGGATTGGACTGGATTTATTCGGTGTAAACACCAAGGATAGCCCACGAATGTCTAGGAGAAGACTTATTTCCAGTGGGGTCCTTCTGAGATATCCCCACGGTTCTGCGCACACCAGATTAGCCGACTGAGCGCAACTGCTAGTAAAATTACTGTACAATTATAAATTAAACACATCAATTTTGGTAGTCATCAAACAACATAACCATACATTTTTTGGTCACCCCCATTACATGATACATCCTTACACACTAGTGTGTCAATAAGGGGGGGGGGGGGAAATGTGATATTCTGTTTCTACAACGATTAGAAAAATCATTTCTACCATATAGCTGTCTCATAAGTGGCTATAGTAAATAGAGGAATACCTTTCGTATACCACTATATTGCTGTTCTTTCTTCTCACACTTTTCCTTGCGACAGCTATCAAAAAATGTTTTTACTCTTCCTTCCAGATTGTCCATTGAATCTATAAAACAAAAACATATCTTCTTAGAAAACAAATAACCACCAAATGTACTGTACAGTAATCAAACAACAAGTAACCAATAACAACAGGAAACCAATTAACAATTAACCAATCACAGAATTTTCATTTTCTTTGATTTAAAGTAAAATAGAAATTATATAGCAAATACAAAATAGCAAACTTAAGACTTCAGATTTGTCACTTACTTTGAACTTGTAAATCCATTTCACGTATTTCTGTAAATCTTTCACGCAGATCCATAGGTAACTGCTCAATCACTGAAAAAAATATTGTAATGAACACATATTGTTCTAATTATTGTTTTATTGATTTAACTATTGGTAAATTGTCAAAGTAAATATGATGATTACGGAAATTATGTAAATAAAAAGTATTTTATATGCGTAGAGGATATCTCATAATACAATTAAAATGTGAGCGGAAAATCACTAGGAAATTTGGCGCACAGAAATGTAACTAGGCCTATTGCTGCTTTGGTTGCATATTATTATTAACTAAGGGATAAGGTATGGCAACGCCTAAGCCAAACTGTATGGTAGTAGTATGGCCTGTGCGGAGAATATCCTCAGCACAAAAATTTGGCCTAGAAATCCATCTGCACATTTTGGAAAATAAGGGTAGATTTCCGTGCAGATTTTGCCGAAAATTACGGTAGACTTTTGACCAAATCTTAAATAAATATATAACCAATGCAATTATGCAGCAATTACGATTCTAGTGATTTTTCGGCAAATTCAGCAGACTTTTTAGGTATCCTCCACGCAATTGAAACAAAAATTCTGCTGGAATCGGCACATTTTTTCTGAAATGTGAGAACGAAATTTCTAGGCCTGATTTTTGTGCGGATATTTTCGTGCAGGTCATATTTTACAGTGCTAAAAACAACAATGACTAAAAAAAAAAATTATAAACACACGACTTATTAAGCTTCTTTGATAACTTGTACACATAACGAAAACTAAATACCATTTTAAAAACTAAATTCATAAATGACTAGGAATTAGGCCTACACACAGACACTTTACACATGTAACCTAGGCCACCTTCCTACTCGATAGTACGCTGAAGTACATAATTAACACGGGGAAATATTAGACCTTTCCCCGGGTTAGATTTGAAAAGCACATTGTTAATGTAGCAATTGGTGGGCCTAGGAATTGGTGAATATAATAAGCATTTATTGTACTAAATTATACACTTAAGGTAAATAGTTGTATTTCTACTTACTTTCTAAGTAATCTTCAAGGTATAACATCTTCCAGCTTATTTGTTTACAAGTAATAATTTAGAAATATATCTTCGTTGTCTCATTCACATCAACACACTTGATCGTGTGTACGAGCAGCGCGAAACTCTATTTGTTCGTTGGTGGCGCACCACTTTACCATCAAAGGCCGCCGTTAATCTATCCATCGTGACGCATCCAAAGGTGTGCGGACAACCATAGAGAATGTTCTATTTTCTCTATGGGACAACCAATCGGGGGTTTTCAATTTAAAGTCAGGCTCCAGAGGGGAAAAAAATTGATATGTTGTAGAACTAATTTTTCTAAGACAGAAAAAAGTAGTTTGATCAAAAACTGAGAAACGGTGAATGAGATACAGATTTTTGAATATTTAAAAACTGAGGGGAAAAGGTGTAAAAATGGGCGGTTACGCCCCTTTTCCCAGTTTTTAAATATTCAAAAATCTGTTCCTCGTTCACCGTTCCCCAGTTTTTCGTCAAACAACTTTTTTCTGTCTTAGAAAAATCAGTTCTACAACATATCAAAACATTTTTTCCTCCGGAGTCTGACTTTAATTTTCCCCCTTTGGGTTTAAAAGAGAAAATGAAGGTTCTTCTTTTATTTTCATTATGAAAGTTGCAACCACGCAAATTCGCACATCTACAGGACTTTAATTCTGGTCTATGTCTCCCACTTTTCAATAGATAGTTAGTAGGCTAGTTTTCTCTGTCGATTATCCATCCATCCATCTCCGTTTGGTTAAAATCATTTAATTTAAGCAACCAGAGAGCATCCAAAACAGCCAGAAAGTACAAATTAAAACAAATATCATCAGTTATCTATTAGAGGTCTATCCAATATTATTTTTTAATGCTTAAAATAAATAATGCATTTTTTAAACATTTGATTGTAAATCATGATCATTATTTGATTGAAAGGTAGTCAATTATTTTTTTCGTATACCGATTTAATCGCATAAGACCATGCTCTATACAAAACCCATTAGTATTATTATATTTTTTTAAAATGCACACAAAAAAATAATAATTATTTTAAAATAGAAATTATCCTTGAATGAATTAAATATTAAACAGTGTATAAAGATCATAGGCCTATGCGACGGGGGCTTGTTTGGGGGACTCATGTAAATGTGGAACTAAATCCCTATTCCAAAAATATTTAATGGTCAATCTTAGATTTAACCACTTAGTGGAACTAATTTACCACCACTGGGGTAGGGTAAGGGGGGGGGGGGTGGATGCGTACTCAAAGATAGAGGGAGAGCAGCTCAGCCCATGCTTAGGGACGGGACCATGTTAAAACACAAGGTAACTTATAAATACAAGACATAAAAAGAATGTTCGCTCAAAAACAGGATACTGAACCAGAAACCTCTTACATCCCCCCGGATACAGTACAGACGTCCTACTGATTAAGTTCTGTAATTATATTTCTTTCAATACTACAAAACGAATATGATTTTCTTTTAAAATATATTTTCATTTAATTTTAAAATTTTTACTTCTCATTATAGCAACTTTAACTTTTACCCAGCTGAATAGCCTCATAATTATTATGTGCAATTTTCATTGGCAAGTCATTTAAATTATGTTTAAATGTAGGCCTGTATTCCAATGATTTTTTTTAAATTACATTTTTAAACATTGGTAAATATTTTTATGCTTAAATAAATATTTGATGATTATATTTTTTTAAATATCTTAACTTCGGAAAGCAAATTTCATGTAAGCCTACTTGACAATACTGTACTGTTTACCGAACTTGCACCGATTCCGTTTTGTGAAGTAGACCCGACTGTCGGGTTTATAGACGATTAGATAAAAACAATGTTGAAATTATTGCCGCAATTCACTGTTTACCAAATATACTTTCTCCGTTAAGATAATAAAGAAACTATAGCACTTTTGGTTAATTTTTAATAATAATATATTATAAGTAATCTTAGATTCAATAAATATATTTGATCTATTTAAGAAATCATGGAATTTGATTGAAATGAATTTACTATCTCGGCCTGGTTTTGGCACACACTACGCCTACAACTGTTTCTGAGAGAAGAGAGAGATGCATGCTTGTTTGGTCGTCTGAAGAAATGGCAAGTTGTTGTGGTATCTACTTTGGTGCAACTTCTGTTTGCTTGGCACTACACAAGGTAATTTGCGACTACGGATTGTGATAACTCGATAATCTACACAAGAGAATTTTTATTCTTTATAATGATACGATCTAAGTGTCAATTTCTATCAACCAAATCAAATAGGCTAGGCCCAGGCTATATACACTTATAGATACTAGGAGTAGGCCTAGTAGGCTAGCCTCTCTCTTCTTGAAGGAGGATAGCCTCTCTTGGCTTGGGAAGGAAGGGGATAGGAGAAGGAATGGCCCAGGGCAGGAGGTAGGAAGAAGGTGTATCATGGAAAGCTTTTTTTCAATCAGTCATTTTTCGACAAATTTTGGCCTAGCCTAGGTAGCCTAAAAGGGTTAGCCCAAATGTAAACCATATTTTGAAAGTCACCCAACTAGGCTAGCCTAGGCCTAACCTAGCTAGACAAGTATTAGTAAGTTAGGCCCTAGGCCTAGCTAGCTAGGCCTAGGCCTATATTAATTCATGCTTTTTAATCAGTAGGCCAGTGGCAGCTCTATCTCTGTCTCTTATACACATCTAGATGGGGCTAAGTTGTCCGACAGGGGGACTTGAGCTTGTAGGCTCGGGCTGTGAGAAGGGGTTAAGAGGGGTTCCCCCTCCCAAATGAGATTTTTTTAAAGAATATCAACCTATAGATGGCCGAAAATGGCACTCTCAGACTGCGACAGACATGTGTTGGCTTGGTGTCGGCCTATTTTTATATGTTTTATGGTCAGAATGCCCAACAAGCTCTGTCCGGCGGGGGGCTTGACCTGTCCGGTGGGGGGCTTAAGCTGGCGCCACCACTGCAGTAGGCTAGGCCTACTACTCTAGTAGAATGGTGATTTGCATTCTGTAATGCGAGTCTTGAAAGATGACGTCACACACATTCTGGCACTTCATTGGGTGATGGTGACGTAATGCCACGGCGATAAATAATATGTGGCAAAGACAAGCCAAAACCAGTCACTCGTCGCAAATCCAGTTTTGGAGATAATGGCCACAACAAGCTGGAATGTCATAATTTTGGAAATATATTTTATTGCACTAAAATAACCTTTAAATATACATACATTATTTTACCCATTTTCAATGTTAAAACAACAATTTTTAAAGATTTGGTGATGGTTTCTGACAAAGGAATGCCCGAAATCCTAACCTTTGAAGGCTGATTTCTAAAATTTACATAGCAGTATGTTTAAACTCCTGTAACTAATTGCGAAATGCCGCATTCAAATGATTCTTTTACCATTTTATAGCTCTCATTTTACTGCTTATACCTGTAAATAAATAAAAATTGATTTTTGCAACGAGTGACTTGTTTAGCTTGTCTTTGCCACATATTAATAAATGTCATCATCAATCAGGGAGTTATTGTTTGTGTTCTTTTAATTTGATTATGTTATTATTAAGTCACCAATTTCAAGATATTTAAATTCAAACTTGTTAAATATGCAAAATTGGCATTTGCGATTCAAATATACTGTATGACCGCCATTAATAGGCCTACATGTCAAAGTAGGCATTGAACATTGTTTGACATTTATTTTAAATAATAATGTTTGATGAAGTTCTCAATTTGCTCTGTACTGATTTCTTCCCAGGATGGAAAAACTGATGTGGTTGCCAATGATGCTGGTGATCGTGTGACTCCAGCAATGGTTGCATATGTCGGAAAGGATAAAGTAGGTTATTACTCACTGATGAAATACACACAGTAGCCTAAATATGGTGGTGGTGCATAAATTTCAAGGGGGCCCCATTGAAAACGTTCGAAGCAAAAGAATCGCGCTCAAGTAGTTAGAGATCCCCTCTTTTCACCTGATTGTTCAATTGCAAACTAGCATCCCCTCCCCCTTCATCCCCTTCCTTTAATTATTGAGGGCCCCCCCCCCCCCCCGCCCGCCCCTCTC